ACCTCCAGGGAAACATTGTTTTCACCTCAGTATGCACAAGATAGAGCTGAAACACGGGGAACACTGAGTGGACTCAGTCTGTGAGCGGTGCTTTCCATGAACATTTTCCTTTGTTGGTGCCTTAATCGTTTGTGTCTGTAGATTCTTTCTTGTACCAGCAACTGTAACTCTTTGTCCTCTACAAGAACATCATCTTTAATTTGCCTCACCTTAGTGTGTTCATATCATAAAGATTATTCAATATTTCCTACCTTGATATGGCTATACTATTTCATAGCTGATGTTTGTGTTGTTGCATCAGAATGACAGCAGAAAAGAAAAGTTATAATCAATGTAAGTTGGTGTGTGTAAACAAGCTCCGTTGCCAGACGTTGAACACTTGGCCTATTCAAGCTGTCATTTGCCAGACCTATTAGAAGAGGGAGAATTCAGTCTGTGTTTATTATTCTTGTTAATGTTCTTGTTATTTTACTGTATGGGAAACTTCAGATTTTGATTTTTTAGAAAGTGATGTTGGTGAATAAAAAAAATTAAATGCTGATAGATAGGGGTGTAAAGTGAATTGTCATATCTATGGCAGGATAAAATTCTGTATATCAAGTGTAAATACAGTAGATGAATCCATTTTTTTTCATACATCTGTCATGGAAGGAATTGGCTCTGTGCATGAGTAAGTGATGCCTAGTTTTGCCACAAGATTGGATGTATTGAAAGCTGTCTGTACCTTTCTCAGAGGAGTGGGGCATATTGAATTCCATATAGGATTGTTTTTGATGTATGTCTGCCTGGCATATCCTGCAATGAATCTGGAAAGGGTTTGGAGAATATTTCAAAAGAGGTGAAGGTTGTCATTTGGATTTACCTTTTATGTCAATGCAATCAAGTTATTTGCCAGAGAGAGGTTGAGAGAAAACATATTATCTCTGTTAGAACAATCTTGTTCAAACCTATAAGAAATGTTTCATATTGATTGAATCATTGCAGTTAACCCAGCCAAGGTTGTCCTGTCATTAGAGTTTAGATGAGAAATTGATTATGGGAAAAGTATTTTTCATGTTACTCCTACATTTATTTATTTTGCACACATTTGAAACTCGCCAGAATGACATTACTGCTGAAATAGTGTAGCGCCAACTCCAACAGTTGTTAGGTGTGGCAAACAATTTGAGTTGTAGAACTTTCTTCAGCTTCAGGGCCTGTTCTGACCAAATTTAGAGCAGCTGTTTGGCTGTAGTTTGCTTAAAGTTGTGGTGGTATGAAACCATCTCTAGTTTAGCTGTATATGAGAGAGGTGAATTTTCATGGAGTATGTTTTATACATTTGTGTTTGTCTAATATATTTATATCCCTATACATTAAGTTATGTGTTAAATTATTATATTTTGTAATGTGTAAGCAATGTGATATTATTCAGGTTATAGTCTATGCAGATACTTTATAGCTTTGCACTCTGCCCACATTTTTATGGTTGGTAAAAACAAATTATGATTTTGTAGGCTCTGATTTGAGGCATGATTATAAAAGCATGCTTATTCATAGTTATCTGTTCACTTATTTCATGAGTGTTCAGGTTTGACAATGGCACTTGATAATGGTGATATTAGAATTTATATTCTGTCTATTTTTTTCAGGGCTCAACCAGGTGTCGGGATGGAGTCAGAGGACAGTGGAGGAGGGACAGGAGACACCTCGACCTATCAGGTACAGTTGATGGCATACTTCTGTAAACGAAGTATGAAAGGGACCTGTTGTCTCCATCCCCTAGTATGGTGTGCATAGTTATTGTTGCAGATGTTATTTTGTTTTTATGTCCATATGTCTATATATTTCTTTCTGGCCTTGTATGCAGGACTGTCTGCAGAATGTGAAATAATGAAAGCCTGTCAACTCAATTGGTAATATACCCAGGCACAACTTAAATATGTTAGCCATAACTTAAACCATTTTAATCTAATGTTTACTTACACTTTCTGAAGAAGCAGGATATTGCCTTTTTTTGTTGTCGCTGACCTGAAAGCAGGTGTGATTTTGCAAGTTGATTGGGGAATGTTTTGCAAGGAAGTGGTCTCTGGCAGAGTTGGCAGATCAGTCAAATTATTGGTACAGATGGTGCAATACTATAGAGCTCATTTATTTGAAAAAAATACTAGCAGAGTTATTATTAATATTATATATGAAAATAAATAAATATAGTGCTTCATTGGAGTGATGTCATTTTATTAGAGTAGAAACAATACCATTCCACAAATGAGATATATAAGAAGAAAGGCACTGATATATTCTGGAAGGGTAGTAAAATGTATATGGATCACATTGTTGCTACATTTGGAAATTACCTTAATAGCTGTTTCACTAGTACAAGCAATTTTGTAATTCATGATTTGTTATAGTTGAGATTTAGTTTGAGTGTCTTTCTGTAAAGAGTAGACATAGTTTTTTCAAGTAATTGCTCTTTTCTTTCTTTATTCGGTTTATAATAAGATTGCAAAGCTTTCTTACTAGCTCTTTTTTATGTGTTTGTGAAAGATAAGATTACTTTCATCTTATTTACTGCATTAAACAATAAGAGTCCTCAGAGTCATGTCCTTTGTATGTTAAAAAATGGTAATCTTTTTTTTTATATGTTTTATTATCATCAATATTTTTATTTTCTAAACTTTTCAAGATAGAGAAGAGTGAGATTATTATAAAAGATTTGGCTAATAGAGATGCCAATATCATCAGTAATTTTATTGTGGCCAAAGCATTTTGATCATTGTTATCGTGACTGTCCTGCAAACTGCTCGCACATATGTTGTTTTATTGCCTGGTGAAGTTGTCCGTTATTGTTGTGCCGTTACAGCCTTTGTTAGTGCCTGAAAAGTGGATACATATTGTTAGACTCTTCCCCCCCTCCCCCCCTTTTGAACCTTGTAGGATGACTAACCGAGGGGACTGTAGTGGTGGTGAGGGTGGGGCTTGTCAGCACAGATGTTTTGTGCACCTGTTCTCAGTGTGAGCATGTGTCTAGTGGCGTCTAGATGGTCCCTCGCAACCGCTCTCTCCCACGTGTGTCCGAGGTGATGTTTGTGCTTTTTAATTGTTGTTCGTCGGGGGACACTTTGTTGGGTGTTGGCTTTATTCTGTTAATTGATATTGATTTTTTTTCTCCTTGCCTCCCCCTACATTCCCTCCTTCCCCTTTTCCTTCCCCCCTCTCTATCCTCCCCTTTCTCCTCATTCTGGCTCTTCCCCCGTCATTCTGTCCCTTCCCCCTTTCCTTCACCCCCCTTCTCATTACTCCTCTTCCTCCTCCTTTTCTTCCTCCTCTTCCTCTTCCCCCCTCTTCCTATTTTCCCTTCTCCCCCTCCTCTTCCTCCCCCTCCTCTTCCTCCTCCTCTTCCTCCCCCTCCTCTTCCTCCCCCTCCCTTCCTCCCCCTCCCTTCCTCCTCCTCTTCCTCCCCCTCCTCTTCCCCCTCCTCCTCCTCCCCCTCCTCTTCCTCCTCCTCTTCCTCCTCCTCTTCCTCCCCCTCCTCTTCCTCCCCCTCCTCTTCCTCCCCCTCTCCCTCCCCCTCACTTCCTCCCCCTCTTCCTCCCCCTCTTCTTCCTCCCCCTCCTCTTCCTCCCCCTCTTCCTCCCCCTCTTCCTCCCCCTCTTCCTCCCCCTCTTCCTCCCCCTCTTCCTCCCCCTCCTCTTCCTCCCCCTCTTCCTCCCCCTCTTCCTCCCCCTCCTCCTCCCCCTCCTCCTCCCCCTCCTCCTCCCCCTCCTCCTCCCCCTCCCCTTCCTCCTCTTCCTCTCCCTCTTCCTCTTCCTCTTCCACTTCCTCTTCCTCTTACTCTTTCTCTTTCTCTTCCTCTTCCTCCCCCTCTTCCTCCCCCTCCTCCTCCCCCTCCTCCTCCCCCTCCTCCTCCCCCCTCCTCCTCCCCCCTCCTCCTCCCCCCTTCTACTCCTCCCCTTCCTCCTCCCCCTCCTCCCCCTCTTACTCCTCCCCTCCTCCCCCTCCTACTCCTCCCCTCCTCCTCCCCTCCTCCCCCTCCTACTCCTCCCCTCCTCCCCCTCCTACTCCTCCCCTTCCTCCTCCCCCTCCTCCCCCTCTTACTCCTCCCCTCCTCCCCCTCCTACTCCTCCCCTCCTCCCCCTCCTACTCCTCCCCTCCTCCCCCTCCTACTCCTCCCCTTCCTCCTCCCCCTCCTCCCCCTCCTCCCCCTCTTACTCCTCCCCTCCTCCCCCTCCTACTACTCCCCTCCTCCCCCTCCTACTCCTCCCCTCCCCCTCCTACTCCTTCCCTCCTCCCCCTCCTACTCCTCCCCTCCTCCCCCTCCTACTCCTCCCCTCCTCCCCTGCCTCCTCCTCCTCCTCCCCTTTTTCCTCCTCTTCCTCCTCCTCCTCCCCTTCCTTCTCCCCTTCCTCCTTCCCTTCCTCGTCCCCTTCCTGCTCCACCCTCTCCTCCTCCCCCTCTTCCATCTCCCCTTCCTCCTTCCCCTCCTCCTCCCCCTCTTCCATCTCCCCTTCCTCCTTCCCCTCTTCCTCCCCCACTTCCTCCTCCCTACCTTGCCATCTCCCTCCCCACCACTCTTCCCCTTCCCCTCATCCTCCCCCCTTGAATTGAAAGGAAACAAATGGGTAAGAATGAGAAAGAGGAGAGTAAAGTAGTTGTGTGTAGTATTTATTGGATAAAACGAGAACCAGAAGAATGAGTGACTATTACATTCTTTGTGATCACTTATGGTGAATATGTATTATTATTGTTGTTGCAACAAATATGTATGCTTTTTAAACTGCAGCACCACCATCCTTACCACCACCACCATCATCCATCATTATTATCACCATTGTTGCCAGCACCATTATGAACATCATCTTGCCAGTCATCATTATTGTCTTCCACTGTTATCATTATCTGTCATCATAAATCATCATGTATCATCATCATCGTATATCATCTTCACATATCGTTATATACCATTGTAATTATCTTATATGATCATCATATATAATCTTCATCATCATATTTCATGATAATGTATCACTCATCATATGATAATGATGATGATGATGATGATGATGATAATTTTGATGATGATGATAATGTTGATGTTGATGTTGATGTTGATGTTGATGTTGATGTTGATGTTGATGTTGATGTTGATGTTGATGATGATGATGATGATGACGATGATGATGATGATACAGTTACTCACACCCCTTTCTCTCTCTCCTGCCCTCCACAGGTCCTGGCCGCTCAGGACTCGTACCCGAAGCAGATCTGCCAGTTCGATGAGCCCTCCCTGTCCATCCCCTTTGTGCCCTTGGCAGGAGAATATGCGCAGTTTGTGGGCCGCACGGCCGATGGCCTCATGGCCCTTTCCAACTACAGAGTTTTCCTGCAGCAGCGCGACGCTACCTACCACATTCCCCTGGGTGTGATTGAGACCATAGAGTGCCGTGAAATCTTCTTCCTCTTTCTGTTGTGCAAAGACACTAAGTCTTACAAGTAAGTGGAGAGGATCAGTGTTTTTTTTCAGTTGGTTGTTAAGTGGTGGAGGTCTTTAGGACTAGGTGAAATTTATATTAGCAATGGGATCAGTGGATTGCTTAGAGGAATCTGTATTTGTATGGTTTTAATTTAAGATCAAAGAGAGTTTGAAATAGACATTTTACTTATTTCATAGCCTTTTAATGTCATTAACTTGTAATGTTTTATTAATTGTAAAATGCTGGATGATATGCACCCTAATGTATCACAAGAATCTATCATGTTAGTACCTCTTAATTGTCCTATCTTCCTTAGAAACATCCTTTTGATTTTGCTTCCAGGTGCACATTTGCAACAAATGAGCAGTGTGCTGAATGGCAACGTCGACTGACCAAAGCTCTAGCCCTACCACAGCGCCTTGAGAACGTCTTTTCATTTGCCTTCTACATGTGGAACATGGAGGAGGCTCGGGAATTGCACAATGCCCTTCATGAACCTGACAGTCCACAGTCCTATGCTGCTAGGGCAGAGAGGATGTTTGATGAGGAGGTAGGATGTATTTGCTTTTGTATTTCTCCCTCATTTTCTTTATTTGCATGGTTCCTTTTATGCTCTTGTGGTATTTTCCTTGAACTTTTTTTCCATTTTTTGATTCTGCTAAAGATATTTTCTTGTATTCGTTCTCTCTCTCTCTTTCTCTGTCTGTCTTTTCCAACTTTTCTTTCTCTCTTATTTCCTCCTTGCATTTCTCTTTTTATTTCCTCCTTGCATTTCTCTTCTTAATTTTCTGTCCACATCTTCCCCAACTGATTCTTGAGTGATGTTGAAATGAGTGATGAACCTGAATTCACCAAATCCCAATATCCCCATGCCTAAAAGCTATGTGGTACAGTTGAGACAGTGCCGGCTATTAACGATCTTTCAAAAATCTCAGGTGCGACGTCTGGGCTTTGACCTTGGAGGGGCATGGCGCATCTCATTAGCCAACAATGAGTACCAGCTGTGCTCAACATACCCTCGCAAATTAGTCGTTCCTGCCTCAATCAATGACAACATCTTGGAGAGTGTTGCCCGCTTCAGGTCTGCTAGGCGTATTCCAGCTGTTGTCTGGAGGTAAAGCATATATCTGTATGGGGTGCTGTTTTGTGTTATGATTGTAATATGATATTATGTGATGTACAATTGTGATTGTTATTATATGTAACTGAGTGGAATATTATTGTTTTAGAGTATATTTAATTTATTTTTGAATGGTTTGAAAAAATACTGAAAATGTAACCTGCATTCCTTATCATGACAGACACACAAATGGAGCTGTGATAGCCCGTTGCAGTCAGCCCGAGGTTGGCTGGTTGGGCTGGCGGTCCAGTGAAGATGAGGACTTGGTCAAGGCTATAGCGGAGGCCTGTGCTTATGACAGCCCTGCCGTAAGTAGTTCCAACGGCACCAACGCTATGATCGGTAGTCAGTTGATCCCCCCAGCCACTGGAGAGAAGGAAGCCATCACTCCAGTGTCAGATATCCCATCCTTGTGTGACTTGCCAGAAGCAAAGGCACAGGCTGACATCAAGGTAATGGATTGCTTTGCTTGATCTAGGAGTTTCGAAAGCACTTCAGTACTTCTTCCAACATGCTGCTGTTTCTCCTCTTCCTCCTCCTCCTCCTCTTTTTTAACAGATCTTCTTACACAGGATATGGGTAATGATTAGGATCTAGTTTATTTTTAGGAATTTCATGTGAGTGTTTGTTAATTCTAGATTTTTTAACTTTCATAAAACTTCATGTTTGTCTCTACCCATTACAGAAAGTCTTGATTGTCGATGCTCGCTCATATGCCACAGCTGTAGCCAACCGTGCCCGTGGGGGAGGCTGTGAATGCCCTGAATACTACCCACAGTGTGAAATCCAATTCATGAACCTTGCTAACATCCACACCATCCGAAAGTCTCACCACGCTCTGCGTCAGCTCGTGGCATCCTCTCCTGACATTCCAAAGTGAGTTTGGTGTCTTGGTTGTTTTGGAGGTGCATTGTGTAAATAGTATTGGTTGAGTGGTATTTTAAGCCTTTTGATTAATTATTATCTAATTTTGATTCCCACTATAGAATTGTGCATAAGTTAGAGAATGTTTATCCCCGTAAATGATGGGTATAGAGTAGTGAGGCAACCCTCATAATGGTCAGTATTCTATCTGCTTGGCCCTTGGATGTCATTTAGAAGACAGGAACTTCGAAAATAAAAAACAACCACATGTAATAACATCTGACTCACTTTTATTCCTGATTCCAGTTGGTTGTCATTGCTAGAGAATTCTCGATGGCTTGCCCACATCTCTGGTCTCCTCAAGGCAGCAGTGACAGTGGTGCAGGCTGTGGTGCGTGAGGCCAGGCCAGTTCTAGTCCACTGCTCTGACGGCTGGGACCGAACCCCTCAAATTACTGCCTTGTCACAGTTACTTATGGATCCTTATTATAGAACTATGCATGTAAGTTGTCATGTATTTGAACTAGATAAGCTGGGAATGAATATTCTTTGGCTCCATATTTTTTGGGGGGTTAAGGTTTTGAAGTACATTTCCTTAGGGTATTTAAGACTTGACACACTTAAGAGCAATAATTGGGTCATGGGAGGTCATGTCTTCAGTCAGTTGAAAAGTATGTTTGCTGATCTTTCTATGGAAATTAAGCCTGTGTTTATAATTTAGTTATGTAAGTATATAATCTGTCGAGTAAAAGTAATTTTGCCAATTCAAGTCACTTGTAATCTTAGCAGTGGTTTTAATGTTGGTATGTTTACAGTTCATTAAGTTTAAGTAACCCCGTTAATTTTAATATGTTTATAATACATGCATTATTAAAAGAAAACTTGTTTACAGGGCTTTGAGGTGCTAGTGGAGCGTGAGTGGGTTGAGTTTGGCCACAAATTTAGCGATAGGTGTGGCTGTGGACGCAGCTGTGAGGATATCAATGAGAGATGTCCTGTCTTCCTGCAGTGGTTAGACTGTGTCCACCACCTCCTATACTGGTATCCTACAGCCTTCCAGTTTAATCAGGCATATCTGGTTAGTGTTTTTTTCAAGTGAATCTGTATTTTTTGAACAATAAATTCATGCATACCTTAGTATTTGAATTTTAATAGATAAAGAAGAGTGGGCTTGAATAGTATTTATGGTGGTGATATTCCATAGCTGTGTGTCAGCTGTAAATTTCAAGAGACAAAAAGCAGTATCGTAAATTAAGCCTCCAATTGAGTGGAATTATCTACAGCAGATTAAATACTGCAATAATTCTCTTAGTTCATATTGACAAGGAAATCCTTTTCTCCCTGCAGGTGAAGTTAGCACAGCATGTATACAGTAACCTATTTGGTACATTCCTGTGCAACACCTCCCAAGAGCGAGTCCAAGCAGAAATTGGAGAGCGAACGTATTCTGTTTGGTCACTGCTGAGGCTCAACCGTCACCGCTACACCAACTACCTCTATTCTCATACACATCAGGTAGTTTTACTGGCATGCTTGTCTTTTTTATTTGTATACTTACATGAAATTGGATGTTTCAAATTGGAATAATTAATTTGAAATATGATTCCTGTGACATGGTTTTCCTCCAGCTACAGTGCAAGTCTTATTTTTCAGGCTTCACCAAAGGAAATTTTTATCTTTGATTTTGCAAGAGCTTGGGGAATTAATACTGTTATCCCAATAGTATGACTAACGATTTTTGATTTATGTTAGGTTTGTAAAGCATTAAAACATATATCTTGTAAAACAATAAACCATGTATTGATATAAATAAATAGGTAAAGACCAATAGATCAGGAGATGATTATGAACTCTTTTAAGTTTAGGATTTGTGGTAGGGGAATATGAAGGAGGAAGGATTAGGCTGCGTGATTATATGCATATGCCTAAGAAAGAGGCAAGAACCATGATTAGCTCAGGGAGTGAAGGGGAATGTAAGGGGAATAGGTATATAGGGTTTGGTTTGGGGGATGTGGCTACAGGAAACTGGACATACAGTACCAGATTTATTAATTGTCACTACACATATTTTAAACAATGAAAAATATGTTAGTTGTTTATTTTTGCTAGTTGTTTATTTCTCATTCTAGAATATTATATGATAAATATTAACCCCTTGCCGCCGGGTGACGGCGATACGCGTGTAAACAAATCGCTCGAAAGGTGGCGTGCGGCCAAACCAGCCGGCGGCGCGCCAAAGCGCGGCGAGCCAGTGATTCGGGCTGACGCCCCGTACTCCTGCGCTCAAAGTCGGCGCGCTGCCTTTGTTTGCCAGAGCGTAGAGTTTTATTTTCCTTTAGTACACCCGGCGTCATTGGGTTAAGACTTGACTAAAACATCAAACTATGATTGTTGTGGTGAATAGGACTTTGGGGATTAAAAAAGATAATGAATTATTAGTGCTGATTTTTCAGAATAAGCCTTGGTTGCAAGCTTTATCATTACAAAATTCTTTCACTGCAAAATACTTTACCTGAAGAATTATATTCTCCATAGAATATCTGACCTTTAGAGAATTTATTATTAAAGGTTTTTTTCTCCTACCAGGTACTTTATCCTTCATGTCATACTAAAGATCTACGTCTGTGGACTTCTGTCTACATGCCCGAGATGGGTGAGGTGACAGCAGACCCCCACACCAGTGTTTATCCAAGCGTTGGTGAAGAGGAGGTAAGGAGTGCACAATATGTTCTGATTTGTGAAAGACTAGGGACTATGTGTAGGGTTAGATCTAGAAGTAGTCTTACAGTGTGAATGTTTCTGATATTTAGAAAGGGAGGACTGTTTGAAAAGAATGAAATAGAATGAAATTGTGCAATTGGGATTTTTTTCTGTGTGCGTGTGTTTATATGCATATTATTGTCAGTATTGCAGTATAGTGATTTGCAGATATCTGATTTCCCTTGTTTTATTTACTTACATCTTGCCATGAAATACATGCATCTTTTTGAACCATCCCAATACAAAGTAACAAAATGATGGCTACAGAACTCATAAATGATTTAAAAAGGAATTTTTAGACCAATAAGAGAGACCTCAGAATTCATAAATAATAAATGTTACCCTTGACCTGTAATACTGTTTGGCTAGTTCACTGCAAGTGGTACTCCAGAGCTAAGCCAGGATCTGACATGCTGTCAAGATTGGGTAGTGATGCTAAATTGATATCTTGGTAGCATCAAGATGCAATTTTTCTTCAAGTGAATATTTGTTAATTTTCTTTATTTACTATTTACTATATTTGCAGGAGGAGGAGGAACCAGCAGCTGGAGGGGAGCTGGTGAAGACCAAGTCATGTGACGATCTCCTGGCTGGGACGTCACCTCCACCCCACCACCCCCTGCGCCGATCCTCTGACCCTAATATTCGGGACAGGTAGTTTATGCTTTTTTATTCTTCTCTCATTTTTGTTAGATAATGGAGAGTGATTCATAGTTTGTTTACTTCTTAGGGGAGGCTGGGGTTGAAGGATCTTCAATTTTTTGATGTTTGATTTTGCAAATATTATTATAGTATGATTTTTTTTTCCCATAGCTGTCCCAACATGGCCATGCTCAACTCAGCCCTAGGTGCTGAACTGGCCAACGAGGACCAGGATATCCTTCCAAATGGCGTAGGAGCTGGGCAAAATGGAGAGGAACTGGAGATCAATGATGACTCCGTGAGCGAGCCAAATGAGGAGCGACCCAATGATGAGTCAGAGTCTCTGACCCTGTGTGAACCTTCTGTGTCAGAGTCAGAAATCCCAGAGTGTGTGAATAATGTGCCGAGTGAAGTGTATGAAAATGGAGTGGAGAATGGGGAGGAGGCCAGTGAGTTGCTGGGGCAGGAGAGCATGGAAGACAGGGAGAAGTCAGAAGGGGAGGGTGGGCCGGTGGGAGAAGAAAAGGAGAAGCAGAAAAGCAAAGAAAGGGCGGTGGGTGGCCGCAGGTTCAGGAATCTGGCAGAGCAATCGATAGAGGGCTCAACAGACACGCTAGTGGCAGAGACCGGAGTGATAGCGAGTGAGGAGAAAGTCCTCCAGGAGAAAAACAGTGATGTTATACCTCTAGTGAATGGAAAGTCAGGACAGGAAAGCCCCAAGTCACTACTGAATGGGAAGTGCTGTCCCTTCATGAATGGGGTCTCTGGAGAGGAGAGCGAGGTGTGCACAACCACCAACAATAACCGCAAACAATCAAAGAAAGGATTAGTGTCCTCCCTATCAGAAAACAGCCAGGAGGAAAAGGAGCGGCCAGAGAAGCGGTTAGTGAATGGGGTGTCAAGCACAGGGGGGGCAGTCATGAATAGTGTTACATCTTCAGGCTGTAGCATCTGCATCCAGAGCAAGAAGCTCCTGGATGAAACCAGCAATGGTGATACGTGGAGGAGTGCTGGCCTCATGAATGAGGGATCAGTCATAGGTGGTACTTCGAGGGGGGTGACCACTGGCCCAGGCAGCAGGGTGTCCCTCTATTCCACACCCATGCATTCCCGCACACCATCTTCATGCATACCCTCTACACCTTGTGAAGACAGGTAAGCATTATGGATTTATTTTTTAGTGCATTGATGTGTGCGTGTGCGTGTGCGTGAGCGCGTGCGTGTGCGTGTGCGCGTGCGTGTGCGCGTGCGCGTGCGCGTGCGTGTGCGTGTGCGTGTGCGTGTCAGTGTCAGTGTCAGTGTCAGTGTCAGTGTCAGTGTCAGTGTCATGTGATTTTTGTATGGGTCTGTTGGTCTTACTAGGTGGCAGGTGGATTGTTCAGCAGTTAGTGTCCTTACCCGTGTAAATTGGGATGTCTTTTAGAATATATTTTAAAGATAACTGGAAAAGAAGTTTTATGTTGACATTATGAAAATTAGCTTTTACATCTCTGTATGATTGTGCTAATTTTATATATATTTATCTATGGTGTATATCTGTTGTGGTCAAGACAAGGAAGCATTTGACCCATAAGGTCTTTCAGTAGCGGTTGAGGATTCATCTCGTATGCTTGTCATGTGTCAGAGCTGATATCTGAAGTTTTTAGTAAAGAAATGAAGAC